CACGGAAGAATGCGACTGTGTGTGAGAGGACACATCTATACATATAAAATTAAACAATTTCTGAACAGCAGACAACAATGCACGGAAGAATGTGACTGTGTGTGAAAGGACACAGCTATACAGATAAAATTAAACAATTTCTGAACAGCCTGCTCGAGCAGGCTGTTATTACTTCTGCAAGGTGTAATGCCTTGCTGCCAAGTTTCTGCTTCGGTTTTCCATCATTGATTTTGTCGTTTGTACCACAAATCATAATTCTATTATGTTTTGAATAAATCCATTATTGTGTGTAATGGTAAATTCTCATACTTATTGATAGTGAAAGGATTTCCCCCCCTGTTGATGTAGACTATTAAAGTTAAATCACATTAGAATCTTTTGTCTCTTGCATCACTCTCTTTTCTTCTGTTATGTGTAGATATCTTGAGTTCCATTACAAGAATTGTGTGATCATTTTTCTGTTGCATTTTATCATAAAGGTACTTTGGGTTCTCATTTTAAATATCTTTTTAATCATCCTTATAAGATGATATCGCACATCCGGTCTTACAGGATTTGCCAGATATGGTTGCTGTCAAGGATGCAGATTTTTCTAATGTGGATGCTGTATTCTGTTGTTTGCCTCATGGAACTACTCAGGTTTGCTTATTGTCTCTCGTCTTCCACATCCAGACATACACTTTGTCACCTGAGAAAATCCATAGTCCAGATAGACACTTTGACACCTAAGAAAATCCGTAGTATGGATCATGCAACTTAAAATTAGGCATTGAATCACAGTTGTGCTTCTATTTTTGCAGTTCTTCTGTTGAATTGAAGATATTTACTTGCTTCTGTTAATTACTCTTTTCATTTTGCAGGAAATTATCAAAGGTCTTCCAAGCAACTTAAAGATTGTCGATCTTTCTGCGGTATCTGCTTAATGCATATTTTGTGCAATGTTTTAAGTGCATCCTTTTGATAAATTAATTTTATGTCACATCTCTTTTGGAACATAAAAGCTGGTTAAATGTAGGACTTCCGGTTGCGAGATGTTGGTGAATACGAGGAATGGTATGGTCAGCCCCACAAAGCACAAGACTTGCAGGTTGGTTTAATCTTCTCGTGGACCTCACCTCATTGAAAAACTTCTGATTCATTTTCATCTTAATAAATCTTCTCATTCTGAAACATGTATAGTTTGTTCTGAATTTGTGCCATTTTGTACGTGTGAACGAATCTTTGTTGTTTGTGAAATGCAGAAAGAAGCAGTGTATGGTCTGACTGAGATATCTAGAAGAGAGATCCAAAATGCTCGTCTAGTGGCAAATCCTGGCTGTTATCCGACTTCTATTCAGCTTCCTCTTATTCCCTTGATAAAGGCATGTCTATTTCTTTACTTATTTCATTCATATGGTTTCATTTAGGAATGTATTGTAATAAGTGCTCTTTTATGAGGTTCTCTAGGCAGAGAGTAAGTAAAGGCTCTTCTTTTCCATAGATAAACATATGCTAAATATAGTAGATGAAGGTGGGCATAATCTAGTTCAACCAAAAGAAATGGTATTACTAAAATTTGAACTCCTTTTCTGCTTTTCATAGCTAAAATAATTAAAACCTGTTCGTATGATACTGGATTTAGTTACTGCATCTTTGCTTTTCCTCTGCGGTCGCATTCTACTGAGTCGATTAATGGTGACTCACGGACTTCAAAGGGACTTTCTCAAGTCTTTATGATTTAAATGAGATTAACTAGTTATTGAGCTCTAGGTGCATGTTTGGTATGGTACTGGGAAGGAATATTCAGTATGATAAACAAGATTTTAGCTTATTTTTCTTCTTTAATGTTGTCCATTACTATCCGATTCTTCATAGATTTATTGAAGAACCATACTGATAACCAACCCTAGCATCTCATGTCTTTTCTATTTAATATATCCTGATTTCAATGTGCTTGACACAGACATATATTATTGCCTTTTCCAATATTGAGAGAGCTTGGATTGAACAGCCTATACAAAGATTTGAACTTTTAATATGAAATGGTTGCAGGCTAAACTCATTGAAGTGAGGAATATCATCATTGACTCAAAATCTGGTGTTAGCGGAGCAGGTTTGAAACATTTTCACAGCCTTCCTGTGGACTTTCCCAATCAATACATTCTACAGCCAAATTAGTTTTCCATATTTGATATGCCCCGCAGGACGTGGAGCAAAGGAGGCAAATTTGTACACTGAAATAGCAGAAGGCATTCATTCTTATGGTATTACCAGGCATCGTCATGGTGCGTAATCAATTTCTGGAAATTCAATAATTACACTCTGATAATACCTTAATATGCAGAAACTATTAAAAGAATGCCTAAATTGACCATCTACTTTAAGAGATATTATGCTTGGCCTGCTAGCTGTCACCTTGTATAGAATGCTTGGTTAAGCTTATAAATAAGTGAAAAGTTACTTAACTTTTTGTTTCCGAACATGTTTGAGTAAGTTAATTATGTCTATTTTCAAGTAAAAAGAAGTTACTCTCTTAAAGTAACTCTTACCTTACTGTTAAAATAAATTACTTATTTCTAATTTTGATTATTGGAAAAAATATATAATTTTAAACTTTTACTTAACTTATTAAGCTCAGCCAAACATGTTCGAGTATAGAATCCATTGTATTTGTTTGTTTTGTGATGATGGATTTGTGGGTTGTTGTAGAAGCTAAAACCAATTGGACGCCTTCTTGTGTTGATTAGTGTAATCAATAGAGAATAATATTATATGTTATTACAAGGAGCGAATACACAATATATATACAACCGAGAGATCTAAATAGGGAAAGAGAATCCCTATAATTACGCTATAATTATTTATGCTAACACTCCCCCTCAAGTTGGAGAATAAATATTAATCATGCCCAACTTGTTACAAATATAATCAACCCGAGTCCCATTTAGAGTTTTAGTGAAAATATCTCCTAATTGTTCTCCAGTTTTCACATATCCTGTAGAGATTAAATTTTGCTGTATTTTTTCACGGACGAAATGACAGTCAATCTCAATATGTTTAGTTCGTTCATGAAACTCGGGATGAGACGCAATATGAAGAGCAGCTTGATTGTCCCACCACAACTTTGCTGGTGTTGAAG